CAGCGCACACACAGTGCACAGACACACATGCAGACAAAGAACTCAAACACGTGAAATAAGTCTTCAAAACTTTAAATCGTTCTCTAAAACTTAAGGGGAGGCAGGTGCCGTAGTGCACACCCTTAATCCCAGCACTTAGAGGCAGAAGCAGGTGGATCTCTGTGAGTTTAAGCCCAGCTGGGTCTACAGAGAGAGTTCCTTGACAGCCGGGGCTACACAGAGAAACTGTTGCAAATTTTAAAAAAGGAAAAGAAAAGAAAGAAAGAAACCACAACTTTACAAAGCTGCAAAGCTGTCCTTTGACCTGGTCAACATCTGCACGGTGGCAGGTATGTCTTCCCCGTCATCATCTAATAGAGACAGAGGAAGACACCAATGTTGACATCTCACCGCCATGTCCTCACCCACACACAAAAAGTAAAGAGAAGGCTTAGAATCTGCTTCAACAGTAGATGGCCTGTGGAGAATCCATCACTCAGGGGCTGCGGCCATGGCTCCGTGGTAGAGCCCCTGCCTAGACACCGTACTGCGCATGCGAGCATGCAATGAGGGGCTGTGCGCGGGGCTCAGCCGTAGAGCTCTGCAAAGAATAAAAAACCAGTATCTCCTTTAGAGGACGAGCCTCCAGTTGACCCGAAGCAGGCTGCCTCTGTGGACCAGGACAAGGACAAGAACCCTCAGACCCGAGGCAAACGCATCAAAGTGGAGCCTGGCCCAAAGGAAGCTAGGGGCTCCGAGGACAGTGGAGACGAGGAGCTCTCAGATCCGCCGACCACACCTCGGCCAGAATTCACTTCTGTCATCCGGGCGGGGGCCCTGAAGCATGATGCGGTACTCCCGTGGGGCCTGACAACTCCTGGAGAGCCCTCGCCTGCCCTCCTTCACGCAGGCTTCTTGCCACCGGTGGTGAGGGGCCTGTGCACGCCGGGCACCATCCGCTATGGCCCTGCAGAGTTGAGCCTGATGTATCCACATTTGCACAGGCTGGGTCCAGGCCCCACGCTCCCGGAGGCCTTTTACCCTACCCTGGGCCTGCCCTACCCAGGGCCCTCAGGTACTAGGGTGCAGCGGAAGGGAGACTGAAGAGAAGCCGAATCTGGGGCATATATCAAGGCCTGGAGTCCTCCTTGAGAATTAAACACCATTCCCTGAGAGGTTCCATCCCCAGGGACCCTGCATGATTGCTTTTCCTTGTCCCTTTAAATTATTTTTTATTCATTTATTTTTCTGTTTGTTTGTGTGTGGGTAGGAGAGGTACGGTGTGGGAATTAGCTCTCTCCTTCTACCTTGTGAGTCCTGAGGATCAAACTCAGGTTGTCAGGCTTGGGAGCAAATGTCTCTATGCAATGAGCCATCTTGCCTCTTCCTTAGACACCTTCATCCGCCTCGTCCCTATTGGTTGTCCTCCTCTCCCCTCCCGGCCTCCCCAGATAACAGGAGCCATCACTCGGAGTCTCAAACTGCTGAAGGGTCAGGTTTAATGTCCCAGTCCTCGGCCCAGCCATTCCCCACAGCCCTGCTGTTTACTCGGGTGGTGGCCGTCCTGCTTCATCTGGGCCTTCCGTAGAGGCTGCCCCGTCATCATCAGGCACCAGTTCCACGTCCAGTTCCAACTGTCCCATGTAGAGGCCTACAGCGCAAGCCCAGAGCAGACTGGCAGCCAACACTGCCCCCACACCCGCGGCAGCACCGGCAAGAGACAGCTGCATAGGTCCTCGCAGTGCTGCCAGGCCCACTGCGTAGGAGGCTCCGCCCCACACCACGCACAGGCCACCCAGCAGGAAGAAGCCTGTGGAGAAGGAGCAGCAATCAATAGTCGCAGGGTCCAGGGTATCCCAAGGGGCTGCCGAGATGACGGACGGGGCTGGGCAAGGCCTCTAAGGCCAGTTAGTAAGAGGCTGGAGGAGTCAGGGGTGGTGGCGCGCTGGGGAGGCAGAGGCAGGCGGATCTCTGTGAGTTCAAGGCCAGCCTAGTCTACAGAGCTAGTTCCAGGACAGGCAGGGCTGCAGAGAAACCCTGTCTCGAAAAAAACAAAACAAACAAAAAAGAGGCTAGAGGCTAGCTCAGGCAACTTAGATTGTCACAAAAGAACAAGTTGTTTTAAAAAAAAAAAAATTGGGATTGGGAGTTTGGAGAGATGGTTCCAAGTTTAAGAACATGTGTTACTCTTGCAGAAGACATAGGTTCAGTCCCCAGCACCCGCATGGTGGCTCACAACCATCTTTACCTCCAGTCCTAGGGGATCTGACTCTCTCTTCTGGCTCCATCGGTACCAGACACACGTGGTCCCCTTGCACACTTACACACATAAAATGAAAATAAATAAATCTTGCCTGGCAGTTGTGGTGCACACCTTTAATCCCAGCACTTGGGAGGCAGAGGCAGAGGCAGGCAGAGCTCTGAGTTCCAGGCATGCCAGTGCTACATACAGAGAAACCTTTTCTTGAAAAATGAACAAATAACCACATAATAAATGGTTTGAGTGTAGTTCAACAGTAAAGCCCCTGCCTAAAACCTCAGAGAGGGGTTGAGGGTGTGTGGCTTAGTATACAGAATCTAACTAGCATGCTGGGTTCCTTCCAAGTATAACAATAAATAAAATAAATCTATAAATCAACAGATAAACTAGAGGGGGAGGTGGCAGACAAGGGCTCAAGTAGTAAGAGCCAAGTACATGAAACTGCACACAGAAGTATCTGGGATCCAAATGAGGGGGCCGATCTATGGGGTATAGACAAAGGTGTACGCACAAGTCAAAGCCCCTTGGAAACGGCCCGAGGACTCAGTTTTGAGAAATCAGATTAGAGGCAGGATAGCCAACAGCTGTGCTTTGGGCCGTGCACTCACGGGAGGACAGTGCTGACTGATGAAGGAGGTGTGTGGAATGAGGAGAGAGTGTTAGCTGGGCTAAGAGGACTAGGCAATGGAGGGAAGGGAAGGCCTGTACTCACCATAGGCAGCTTCCCGGCCCATGTCGCTCTGCATGAAGGAGATGACCCCAATGCCTGACGCCAGAAGTCCATTTCGGAACCAGGAGAGGAAAGCTGTTGCGGATGGTGGGGGTGGGGCTCTGTATCAGCCAAGCCCTGCTTCCTTGATTTCCCCTCTCGTTCAGACCATCAAGCCAATCCCCACCCTCTTCAGCCATGGGTATTTCACAGGCCCGTCCGTTCCAGAAAGCTGCCTACAAATCCCATTCCCCTTCCCTTCTCCCCCGGACGTTATGTGCTCGTTTTGAGCCGTGGTTGAAGACAGTGTCTGTCTAACCCAGATGAAAATCTAAAGCAAGAATTGAAGACGTTCAATCTGAGGATGGAAAGTCTTTCCAAGGATACTTATTCCTGTGGCCCTCCCTCTCTCTTCCTCAAACAAACTTCTCCACCTGGGCCTGCCTTCAAGCCTCCCCGTTCTCCTAAGTGGAAACTGCTCCTACCTGGCACGGCCTCCTCCATTTGTCCACATTTCCCCGCCACTCAACTCCCTGAGTGCTGCCAAAGGCTGTGTCCACTGCTAGCCCCATTCTATACCTGACTGGCTCCAATTTGTCAAACCAATGCCCTACTTAAGGTCCCTCCCCCTGGAATCTAGATCACCTCTCCCTCCAATCTGCAGACATTTCCTCTACCATTGGTTGCGCGCTGGTCCAATCGGGAACTTCCCCATCTTCTGCGGGTAGCCACACTCTTGTTTTATTCCGAGTGTTCCCCTCTGCAATCCGAACCGACCCCACGACTGCAGGCATCTCGCTTCTTCCCAGGTGCCTCTGGATCCGTCTCTGACTCAAGCAGGTGTGGTGCCATCGGGCTACCTCTCCTAACCGTAATCCCCCCACTAATCCGTGCTGCACCCCATTAGCCGGGACCCGCAAACTGGTGCCTTATGCTTTCAGGCTGCAAAATCTCTCACACTGCGTTTCCCTGAGCTTCCATGAAGAACCTCCCCCCGCCGAGCCCGGGCCCTGTTCCCAGCAGATGCGTGCCGCACCTTCGCCGCCCACTCCCACCTGCGCACCCCTCCCGCATAGCGGCCGACCCCGGTCCCTGCCACAGACCTGTCTCGTGCGCCTTGCGGAGGAGCCAAGCGTCCGCGCGATCGAGCTCAGACACCGGGGGCGGTGAGGCCCCCGCGCGTGGGCCGTGGCCGGGGGCAAAGGACCCGCGCGCTCCCCCGCTGCGGGGCCGCTGAGGTGGCAGCAGCGACCCCCGGAAGCGCAGGCGGGCCAGGCGCGCGACCCGAGCCCACCACCAGCCGCCTCCCATGGCTCGCAATGGGGCCGAGACACACGCTCCGCCCCACGGGCCGTTTGTAGGCTGCATGCCAGGTCACTCACGAGGAGCGGCTTGCCGACTGGTGAACTGCCCGCCACTCTAGCCCAGTATGCAATGCCTATTGGTCAACCTGGCGGTGTCTCCACCTCTGTCTTCTGTGCCGGTAGTATGTGGCCCACCTTATTTTAGAGTCGTACTACAAGTCCCTGAGATCAATGCGCTCAGGTCAGGCCGGGCTGCCGAAGACCGTGGCGTGATGGCTGCTGGGACTTGTAGTTTAAAAAAAAAATCTGCTCTCAACAGCCAGGAAACAAAACTTGTACTAGGGGAGCTTAATGTAGAAACTTTGCAAGACTCTGTTGAACCGAGGGAGCAAAACCAACCAGTAACCTCACTAAAGAGGACACACGACTATTATGTTGTATTCCTCTTCCGTTTTTCTTCTTTGCAGATGTTAGTAAAGTAAGATGCCATTACATTCATCCCTGTCCTTAAATTTTTTAAAATATTTATTTACTTAGTATACAATATATGCCTTCAGGCCAGAAGAGGGCACCCGACCTCATTACAGATGGTTGTGAGCCACCATGTGGTTGCTAAGAATTGAACTCAGGACCTCTGGAATAGCAATAGACAATGCTCTTAACCGCTGTGCCATCTCTCCAGTCCCGGAAATAATTTGTGGACCGGAATAATCCTGGAAGACTATCTCTTGCACTGAAACACAAAACATGGTACCATTTGTAGTAACATTTCTTAAATTTTAAGGCCACAGGGGACAGACACGAGGCCATGTATATCCAATGTATTTCGAATAATTTTTATTTATTAATTTTTATAATTATTTGTGTGTGTGTGTGTGTGTGTGTATGTGAGCCACAGTTCATGTGTGGAGGTCAGAGGACAACTCGCAGCAGCTGGTTCTCTTTCCCCCATGTGGGCCCTGGTTATCCAGTTCAGGTTGGTGATAAGCACCTTTGCCTGCTGGGCCATCTCACCAGCTCTGTTTTTCCTTTGTTTTAAATTTTTCTTTCCGAGACAGGATCTCTCTACATAGCCCATAGCTGTCCTGGAACTCACTCTATAGAATGGGCTGACATGTCCCACAGCATGGTGGCAAACCTCCCACACAGAATGTCACTCACGAGAAGCCAGAAGTCGCAGTGTCTCTAACAGCCAAGCCTTGGAAGTCACCTTCTGATTATCCATACACACATTATATCTACACAGTAAGTTCCGGGACAGACAGAGCTACACAGAGAAGCCTTGTCTTGAATAAAAAAGGGGAGAGTGACATAAGATCAGCTCTCTGAGAGGGGATCAGCCAGGCTGGGACGAGGAGAAGGCAGACCCGAGGCAAAGAAGACGTCGTGTGTGTGAAGGCCCTGTGGCTGGTGTTTGCCTGGCGCGTTAGCTGGGCAGTCAGCAGAACCACGGCACAGTGATGTCAAAGAGAGGAAGCCAGAGACAGTGGAGGAAGGAGGACCAGCTCCCAGGGGTCTTGGAGATCATGCTGGGAGCATTGTATTCTTTTTTCCAGTATTGAGGCTGAGACACAAGGCTTTGCATATGGTATGAAAGTGTTCTACACCCTCAGTCTTTGGTTTAATGTGGTTATGTGTGTACCCTATGTAGCCTAGGCTAGCCTGGTACTGCATAGTACAGACTGGCCTTGAACTTGATCCGCCTGCCTCAGGCTCAGGGGGGCTGGGGTCTAAGCAAATGTCTCTCGCAGTTCAGAACACTCGTGATATCCATTCCTTCATTTACCACCTGAATGTTTCTTTCCAGACAGGGCATCCTATCGTCCAGCTTTGCCTTGAACTTGCTCCGTGACTGAGAACAACTTTGAATTCCTGATCCTCCTGCCTTTACCTTCTGACTTCTGGGATTATAGGTCTGTAGCTTCATGCCTGTTTTATGTGGTGCTGGGGAGGGAGCGCAGGGCCCGCTGAGCAAGGGTTCTTTACTAATTGAGCTATGGGCTCAGCTAAGGGCCCAGCTAAGGGCGTGAGATTCAGGGGAGGAAAGGGTAGGTGC